TGTGATCTTGATGGCAGTCGTGAGTCAGTCAAGTGCGAATAGATGACTTGCACAAAGATCCGAGCCGCGGGTGAGACGGGGCAAGTCTCACTACTAAAGTACTATACTATAGGCCTTGGCGGATAATGCTCGAAAAGGTGGCAGATTCTGCTTTTTTTGCACCGAAATTGGCAGAACCATACAAACCTTATGGCGGGCAATTCCTCGAATTCTGCTCCATTTCTTTATCCACATACCAAACATGCATGAAACTTACCAGAAAAAGTACCGAATTCTGCCAATTTTTCTGCCGGCATTATCCGCCAAGGCCTACTATACTAGCTACCTCAGTGCACCCTGTGTACCCAGGCTTCACTGTGGGCACCCTGCACTGTCTGTAGTGCACTTTTTTTTGTCAGCATGACTGAACGGTGCACGGCATGTACATGTACATGTACTATACATGACTGTACAAGTACTTAAGGCTGCGTTTACACGGAGACGAAACGAAACGAAACGAAAACGGGCTAGCCTCGGATCGTTTTCAAACCGTTTACACGAGTACGGCAAAACGTTTTGAACCGTTTACACGGAAACGGAAAACGGGCTATCAGGCTGGAGTTAGCACGTGCTGGCTTTGCGCAAGGGCGGGAAGTAACACGTTAGTTGGAGTTGGTACGTGCTGGTGGTCGCAAAGGTCAGGTATTTCCCGCGAAATATAGTCCCGCGCGGAATGGTTTCCATGACCGCGCTCCGTTTCCAATCGTTTTCACTGTTTTCACCGTTTACACGAGAACGAAAACGTTTTGAAAACGTTTCAAAACACTTTGAAGTGCGTTTCCATTTCGTTCCGTTTAGGTATCGTTTTTGGGCGTTGTCGTGCAAACGATAGTAGTAAACGCAACGATTTCGTTCCGTTTAGGTCCTACTTCGTTGTCGTGTGAACGCAAATCGTTTTCAATCGTTGTCGTGTAAACGCAGCCTTACTGTCTTTACTTCAGCAGCTCATGAGTCACAGTAACTCTCGTCTTATTTTTTTGGTGAGACACTTAGTGATATTATTTAAAAAAAAACTGTCTTACCAAAAAGCAGCAAGCGTAAAAGCACCCTCGGTGCAACCAATAATATGCCATCAGAAAACAGCAAGTGCTGTAGGATAAGCATGAGGCTCCCAAGAAGACGTCAAGCGTCATGCTACACACGGCCATCAGAAGAACAAAGGATAACTGTGCTAACCTAGTTCATATTCAACGTAACGCTAACCGTTACGGGATATAGGAGCCTGCTGCGGGGAAGGCTTCGGTGAGCTGAAAAATCGTATACGATTCGCACAGCACAACATGCATGCAGCAGTGATTGCGACGGTCAGCGTCGATGGATGCGAGTCGTAAAGCACAGGCCGTAGCCCTTGGGGTTGACGTTTCTGGACTTCCTTTCTCTATATCTTCTCAAATAAAGCGGAATCAATCTGATAATACCAGTCTGTTATGAACACCAAGAAAGCAGCCATGGACGTTCACCGTTGTGCCATTCTAAAGGAACAACAGGTAAAAGATAGAGTTCATCTGAAAAACTCAAGGACTATCCATAAATACAGCAAATGATAAACCTAGGTTGGTAAAGTCCAACTCCGTCATGTGAGCCATGGGAAGCATAGTGTTCGAAATGCTGAAATTGGAAAAGTTGCAGTTGTGTTCATCGCCACACGACGCCATCGCCTGTTCACATTTCAAATGTAGCCATTTTAAAGCTCGCGTCCCTGTGCACAGCATGGATGGTTGAACAGATTCTACTCTTCCATCGCTTCCTGTCCTGTACAGTAGTGCGGTTGCGTTCCCGTTCCTGACATTCACGTACGTCGCCGCTAACCAGCATCATGAGTGCTCCAATGGTTCTCGCCACTCCTTACGTAGCGTCCCGGCGCCCCCCCCCCCCCCCCCCCCCGTCAAAATGTGAACTACTGTCGGCAATGGAGCCAGTACATGTATATGATGAGGCCACATTCAAGGTGAATGCACCGTTTGATGATGCTCTAACATGTCCTTTCACCGTTGTATGGAATTTGTAAGAAGAGAAGTGGCTCAACGGCAGGTCCAAGGCAGAAGGTACCTCACAGCGCAGTTCTGTTACATCCACAACGATGAACATACTCAGCAGACTGTGACGTGCATCAGACACACTTTGGCATTTTTTGTTCCACGTCCTCCCCAGGAGGAGACACATAATAGGTCAGTCATATCTTCAGTACATGGGGTACTGATGCATCGTTACAACTAAACAGGTATGCAAGCTACTTTTCCCATAAGACCCAGCCGGAGCCGCATCATCGTCATTAGCAGCCATTCATGGAGGGTTATAATTATGTGACTTTCCACCACTCCCTGATCCAATCATAGTTTGCGAGCCTTACCCAAACTGCAGCTGCTCGTAGTCAGGGTTGATTAATTTCAGAAATATTCATATGGAACGGAACAAGCGAGACTTCAACAGTAGCTAGAACCACATCAGGCCTGAGGACTTCGCGGCGTTTCTGCAGCACACTTGTTCTCTCCTTCAGCTCAGATACTACTTGAAGTACTACTGAAGGCCATCTGGATCTCACGCTCGGTCCTTTCACCCTTCATTTTCGTGGTTTAGGCTTCCACTCACGACTCGGCAGGTTCCTGGCCTCTACGCACTCTGTCCTCACGAGAGGGTCGCTCTGGAGCTAGTGCAGCCGAATCAAAGGGAATCGAGTTCTTTCTCAGACGTCCACAAACTGTCGTTGTCCTTACCTTCCCTTCCACTGCGGGTAAGTAGTTGCACTTCAGGACCACGACGTGCTTGCTGGAGCCTACATACACCAATGATACTAACATTTTCCCCCATTCAAGCTCATCTCCATATGGCATGAATCCATTAATTTTTCTGCCTTAATGGCTCGGAAAGAAACGTATGGAATGGGAGCCCCAGTTCCATCCCTCGTCTGCTAGTGCATTCAGGAGCGCAGCAGTGCTTCGGCATGACGATACCAGCCAAATCAAAACAACTCTAGCCAAAAACTAGCTCAGCGTTCGTCAGGCAAAAAGTGAAAGTCTCAAACTCAAAAGGTCGAGAAGTCAGAGTCTGAACGTCCACTTGCCCCGTCTCGAACCCAGACAATCTTTGTGCAAGTCATCTACCGGTATTCAAGTCGGCAGGAAAACCGCGAGCTCCCAATGCAATGTGGGGAGCAACACACACACACACACTTCCCCACGAATCACGCTCAAGCCTCAAGGCTGTGTGGGGCCGGCTGTGGGCACGCCAGCGACATACCCCATGCAGCCAAGGGCGTAGGCCCGAGGGCTGCATGCAATGGCAAAATCCAGCCATCATGACAGACACATCGCTCTTGATTTGATTTCTTACAGCACGAAGCAACATATTAGGGAAGGTCAAAGGTCGAAAGATCGAATTATTCCCGAAATGACGTCAAACTGTCCTGAAATTCCCGAAATGATGTCAAACGGGCCTGAAATCCCCGAAATGATGTCAAACGGTCCTGAATGACTCCTGATGGCCTGATTATGCCCGCGCGGCAGGAAGACCAGCTATTGGCCATGGCCCGGAAAATGATCACGTACACGTATCATGCTTTATTTTGGGTAATCCTGAAAATAATAAAGATTAGTTTTTTCTTACATGACACGTGATCGTCGCCGGGGCCATGGCCAATAGGCGATCTTCCCGCCGCGGGCATAATCAGGCCATCAGGACCGTTTGACGTCATTTCGGGAATGTTCGGACCGTTTGACGTCATTTCGGGAATAATTTTTCGACCTTTCGACCTTTCCACCTTTGACCTTCCCTAATATGTTGCTTCGCGCTGTAAGAAATCAAATCAAGCACGCTCTGTCTGTCATGATGGCTGAATCTTGCCTTTGCCTGCAGCCCTCGGGCCTACGGCCCTTGGGCTGCAGGCTCGGGCAAGATTCAGCCATCATGACCTCCTGAGCGTGCTTGATTACATACATTATGTAAGAAAACGAGTCAAAGGACGTAACGTCGTTACATGATTTGACCCTACGCACCTCTACTAGGCCACGTAGGACATAGACTAGGCCTAGGCGCCTGTAGACTACAAAAAGTACATACATAATCCTACACAGTTGCGAGGGCATGATGCTCTGATCAGGCCCGAGGTCTGTGAGTGATCTTGCCCGAGGTCGCGACGCCCAAGGGGCGTAGCCCCGAGGGCGTCGCGACCGAGGGCAAGATTACTCACATGACCGAGGGCCTGATCAGAGCGGCATGCCCGACGCAACTGTGTAGGATTGCGCTTCAGACAAGGCCCACCTCACAAACAACAAGGCCCAGTACAGATTCAAACAGAAAGAAAGCCTTGACGGCAAATGAGTTGATGTCACATTGTGTGCAGTGATCATAACAAACAGCTATTTGTTTGGTCGGAACTTTCCAGTTTTGAGATGAAAGTATTCAAGTACAGTGAAGGCAGTAGTAACGTTAGTACCAGTAATATGACGGATTCGGAATAAACCCGTTCTTCGAGTTAGATGATTGCCAGAGTAAGGTTCAAATGCGAGTGCTGAGAAGCTGCAGCCTTAGGGCAGGTACAAAATGTACTTGTGGAGGTCTGCTTCCCTTGTGTACGTTTCGCCGCGAGAAACAGGATCAGCTGCAAGGTCGGTTGGCGTTTCTGGTCTCCCTGCAGACGTTCAAGACAGTAGTGAGTATGATAATTTTGGAGAAGGGAGACAAATTTTTAGTCCTCGTCGGAGATGTTGCCCAAGGCAAGGACTTCGAAAAATGGTAAATGCGCATGTGCGGCGCGATGCTGTACGACTGCTGTTCTTGACCGGCTAAGCGGTCAAGATCGACTGATCTTGACTGCTTATTCTGGCCGCTCATTGGCCGTCTCCTGGCAACAAGCACGTGCCATGTCTGAAGCTTCGTTCGTCCCGATTTTGCCGGTCCTCGTGCGAGACCGTGCGCATGCGCTGCCTGCACTGCACTCCGGTACTCCGTGCGGCAGGAAGTCACAGTCCCCGTCCCACTGGATCCATACAAGTACATTTTGGACAGAAGGCTCACTTGCTCATCGTTGTCCTTAGAGAAAGGCTAAACTACGATTGCTGACAATATACGAGTTACTCGGAGTGGTATACGTGAATCGGACGAGCCATCGTTAGCAGGTGAGTACCATAGCTCTCCGTTGAATCACCATCCTGCATGTATGTTGTGTTACTATGTTCGCATCTTTCCTGCGGACGCGTCTCTCACACGGTTAGTCAAGCCAGTAATAATGTCCTCCCCGGATTGGGAAGATTTTTCTTCTCCTTCCCCTTTTTTTTTATAAAAATTCCCCCAGCCGGCAACTGTACTTCTTTTTCGTCTTAGGGGTTAGACAAGGGGAAGTAGCCATGTAGGGGCGTGGGCCCGCCTTTCGCCACCGGGAGTTACAGCTCTTTTCCTTTGATATGGTGTTAGCATAGAACGTGGCCGTTCACAATGATTTTCTTCCACAGAGATCATGGTGTGTGTGGCATGCCTCAGTATAGCTTGTCATCCGCCTCAACTGGCATTTCGTTTTCGTTCCGGAGCTCATCCTGCCCCTGGTTTGGGCTTGCGTTCACATGCGTATTTGGCCCTCGTGCAACTCAGGTCATTTTGGCGTCCGGGCGATCTTGCCTGTCCTCTCCATAGACCACTTTGGCGATACAGTTGACTCGCAGGACAGCCTCAGCTAGCAGGAATTTGCCACCGTTCACCAAAATGTAAAAACATCAGCCTCCAGGGCTGACACATGGTCGAGTGAACGATCGCGTTGAAACATTACCTCTCCCCATTCCTCTATTGAGCGCATTAACACTGGACCCGGCTGTGTATTCAGTGAGTGCGTTCGATTTTGCCCGTGAATCGATTCATGAATCCACTCATAAATCGATTCGCGCTATTCACATCACCCCATGTTAATAGGGTGACTTGATTCCGAATTGATTCCAGGGCTCGTGTATGACGTGGAAGTCGAACGACTTGAATGCACTTGAATCGATTCATGAATCGCTTCAAGTGCGTAATGGAATGCACTCACTAGACTGGAAATCCTTGACTACGTCACACGTGTACTAAAACACACGCAGACTATCGGCGGGCAGTGAAGACAATTACACTGCCGAGAGGGATCTAACATCCCCGCAGCCGTATGTGTATTGACTGCCTGTGGACTGTGGGTGGATTCATTTGGTACTGTTTGCCAGACCAGTGCTGTGTGCGGCGCGAGGGGCGCCTGTAGGCACCCGCGGATAATGCTTGTTACTGTACTGTCGCGTATTAAAGCCGGGCATATTCCTGTAGAAGCCGATGTAAGGGCCAGACTTCTATTCACACCAGACTTTCATTCAAACCAGGTATTTGTATGTGTGTCAACACTAAAACCAGGCTTATGTGCCGACCATGTATCTTGACAATCAGGCGTATTTTCAAAACAGGCTTCTATTCGAGATAGGCTTTAAAGGGGAAGTGTACCCTAAAGTCAAGTGTTCACCAGTTGTAGTCTTCGGGGTGCTGAGTTGAATGGTCTTGGTCCGAGGAAGCTGAGACGCTCCCTTCCTCCTGTATTCCCAATCGAACTCGCGCAGTTCCACCAAAACTGGGTGACTGCGCCCTACTAGATGGGGATTTGATGCAAAATGTCACTAAAAGCGCCATTTCGTTCTTATAAAAGCACGGATGACCGCCATTGGCCCATATGTTGTAGTCTTTTGGACGCTGAGTCGACTGGTTTTGGTCCGAAAAGGCTGCGATGCAGCGTTCCTCCTTTATTCCCAATCGAACATGGTTGAACAAGCGGTCACGTGCTCCTGCGTACACCAGTCACCTGGTCACCGTGCCTGCAGGGTACAACTTACTAGCCTGTTTGACCTTTTTTGGGTGCAGTCCTGTCACTCGAGTTGAACCTTGGTGTGAAAGTTGTCGCCTGCTGGCACGGTGACCAGGTGATTTGGGCACCCAGGAGCACGTGACCGCTTGTTCAACCATGTTCGATTGGGAATAAAGGAGGAACGCTGCATCGCAGCCTTTTCGGACCAAAACCAGTCGACCCAGCGTCCAAAAGACTACAAAATATGGAGGACAGAGAAATTGTTTTTACTCCCGAGTTTCTCGCACTAAGCGATCATCAAAAAACAGTAATGAGAAATCTGGATCAGTATTGGTTTATATACAGTTGAACATCGATTATCCGCACATCGACTATCCGACCATTCGATTATAACAGTTTTTTTGGGCGCACGTGCCGTAGAGTATGCACTGTGCATGTAGTGAGCCATTCAAAAAATACGAAAATTTTGAAAAGTAAAAAGTAATAAGGTCGTGCGGCTAGTAATAACCACTGAAAGTGTGTGAGCGACAGTTTTTTCTTATCCGGAACATTTGCCTTATCTGAACACCGCCTGACAGTTGTCTGCCCAGAGGTGGTCGGATAATCGATGTTCAACTGTACTCACAAAGCAAAGAGTAAATAGCTGCAGCATGGCGCAAATCTAAAAGTTGTGAATGGCGGCAGTGCAAAGCGTGAATGACTGCATCATGAGGCTCGTGGCGACACTTTGACACAAGCTCACTCCTTTTGTTGAGAGAGCGGTGCTTGGGTGCTTGCGCGATTGCCAATTTTTCCGCCAGGCACAGGTTGCACCTTTTGCTTTTGTTGCTGTAGGCCGCTGCTCTGCGGTGTACCACCCATTGAATGCTGCATGCCTTCCCTTCATCCTTCTTGGCCCAAATGTACTACGATAGGCGGGTGTCCTTCTCGTGTTGTCTGTGGCAGAAAAATGGTTTGGTGGTTAGAGTAGCGTTTTTTCTGTGTCCTCCTATTGTTTGAACCAGCTATACCTCTCAGTATTGAGCACTCTCTTGGATAGCTTGGAACCTCTCTGTTTTATAAGTGGTGCTCTTCAGGCACAATCTTCCTCAGCCTACTCAAGCTCAACTGGTGTGGGGTGAATTCCCCGAAACACTGTGTATAGAGCAGGGAGTGGTGCTTTCTTGCAGGTTTGCCGAGTACACGGTTCGATGCACTTCTCGTGTGATCTTGATGGCAGTCGTGAGTCAGTCAAGTGCGAATAGATGACTTGTACAAAGATCCGAGCCGTGAGTGAGACGGGGCAAGTCTCACTACTAAAGCACTATACTAGCTACCTCAGTGCACCCTGTGTACCCAGGCTTCACTGTGGGCACCCTGCACTGTCTGTAGTGCACTTTTTTTTGTCAGCATGACTGAACGGTGCACGGCATGTACATGTACATGTACTATACATGACTGTACAAGTACTTAAGGCTGCGTTTACACGGAGATGAAACGAAACGAAACGGAATGAAACGAAACGAAAACGGGCTAGCCTCGGATCGTTTTCAAACCGTTTACACGAGTACGGCAAATCGTTTTGAACCGTTTAAACGAAAACGGAAAACGGCCTATCAGGCTGGAGTTAGCACGTGCTGGCTTTGCGCAAGGGCGGGAAGTAGCACGTTAGTTGGAGTTGGTACGTGCTGGTGGTCGCAAAGGTCAGGTATTTCCTGCGAAATATAGTCCCGCGCGGAATGGTTTCCATGACCGCGCTCCGTTTCCAATCGTTTTCACTGTTTTCACCGTTTACACGATAACGAAAACGTTTTGAAAACGTTTCAAAACACTTTGAAGTGCGTTTCCATTTCGTTCCATTTAGGTATCGTTTTCGGGCGTTGTCGTGCAAACGATAGTAGTAAACGCAACGATTTCGTTCCGTTTAGGTCCTACTTCGTTGTCGTGTAAACGCAAATCGTTTTCAATCATTGTCGTGTAAATGCAGCCTTACTGTCTTCACTTCAGCAGCTCATGAGTCACTGTAACCCTCGTCTTATTTTTTGGTGAGACACTTAGTGATATTATTTTTTTTTTTAACTGTCTTACCAAAAAGCAGCAAGCGTAAAAGCACCCTCTGTGCAACCAATAATATGCCATCGGAAAGCAGCAAGTGCTGTAGGATAAGCATGAGGCTCCCAAGAAGACGTCAAGTGTCATGCTACACACGGAAGCCACGATCACAAAGCACTATTAAACATGATTATTTACATGTCGGCAAGCAACTCAGTCGAAAATTCAAGCAAGTTGCACAATCATCCTCCTCGCCGCTATCGTCGCCGGAGGAAGAGCTCAAAACGTACGATCCGGACAGCTGCTGCACGGGTCGTTTCATAGCTTGTTCCACTTCTCCTCGTCTCGAATCACGCTCAAAGGCAGTGCGTGCCTGTCACCTCCCCATCCGAAGCTGAGTGAGACTACCCGCATGTTGACTGTAAGTGTTAACCCCGTTCGTCGCAATACTGCGTCTTTGTTTGAGACAAAAAGGCCCACGCCATATCAGTGTCCTTTTTTCAAATCGCCTCTTGCGCTTGTCGTACTTGCTGACCAGCACCCGTACGCACGCGAGCCGCTGGTGCTTCAAGATCTACATGCAGCGCAGTGATAGCTTCCGCTTGATGTAGCACCTGTGCGTACTGCACCTACATCGCCGTGCACCAGGCTTTTCGGCTACTTTCCTGAAAGTCCTTTGCACGAGTGTTTCTTTCAGGACTTGGTGTTTTCTTTGGTAAGCTCCTTTGCCCTGTCCTCTGTGAGCTTCACAGTGTGTCCGCCGGATTGGTCTCACTTACTGGAGATATCGACATGAGCTGCAGTTTCTTCGTCAGCGATTTGCTGGTGATAGCCCTTCACTAGGCGCTGTACTGTGCAAGCACTGAAATTCAAGCTCGCGAAGCGCTTTTTCAGCTTTTCTATACCTCCCCGGGGTAAACAATCCTTGCCATCAGACAGCTGGAAGTAGACAGAAACTGTATTCTCCATCGCTCTGAAATGCGAACATCCTGACCTATTTTACGGACTCGAGCGGAGGTTGCAGTGTTTTCTTGCGCTGACGGAAGTGTGCGTCTGCGGCAGCTCCGTCAAAAAGACTCAAATGAATACCAAAAAACCAAGTGAGAAGATAATTGCCAATTTTAACTTGGCGGACCAAGTACGACCGGTACATACTCACTATTCGTATTTCCCGCTCGTTCCCCTTGGCAATGAGAGCCACCCACATATAGAAGAGCGCATGCTCCAGTGGGTCTCTAGTTCTGTTCTGTGCTGTCTTGAGTTGTCGTTGTCCTGTTCTCCTTTTCATTCCTGTCTACACTTTGTCCAAATACTTTCCATACTCAATACTATAAAACCCCTGTGTTCTGGTGTGAGGGGACTTCATTTAGCTGGGAGCTAACAGTGGCAGTATCCACCCATATCATGGTGTGAGAACCATCAAAGCCCCCAGTCACTGAATGTCAGTAAATGAGTGAATGCCAATAGTTAAACTGGCTGTTTTTTTCTCTGGCTCGCTGTGTGCTCTCTTATTGGTTGTTATTGTCTGTTTACGTGAGAATCCACCCGTGCATATGCGTTGTGTGTTGTTGTCCTTTGATTTGCAGGTTGTGCAGTGACATGGCTCGCCAACTTGGACTAGTCTGCCTCAATTTCCTGGTGTTCATTGCCTCTCAAAGTGCTGGTGGGTTTTTGTAGTTGCAGGGAGATTTGTTTCAATACTCACTTTGGTAGCGCCATATTCCTCACATACTCATACTCAGCCCAAAGCAACAAGGAATATTTTTGGGGGATAGTGTGCTGCTTCGAGCAACTTGTGCAGTAGTGCAAAAGCTCAAAGAGCTGGAAAGCAATGCCAGGCCACTGGCAGCAACTGGCTCGCGAGGAGACGGGATAAACCCACACATCAGGCGAAATAGCACGTCATCGTACATTTGAGATCAGCGGGAAGAAGATGACGACGTCCACTAATTTAGTATCTGTGCACACGAATCTGCTGTGTGTGTGACTCTGTGTGTCAGCTATGATATCATCTTCTGTGGTTCCATGCCTAGCATGTACGTCTGAACCATCCTGCAAAGTTTGAATGACGTAGGTTGAGCGATCGCTCCGCGAAATATACTTTTTGAAATTCTCTTCATAGTATATCTTCCACCATTGAAATTTCGAATTTCTTCAAAAAAAGTGCTGAGAGGGGTGGCTTGCAACCTCGATATGGCTTGTTCCAGGCATGCTTTGGAGCCATCTTCTGTTGAAGTAGTGGCGGGGATCTGCCCTGCAACTGCTACAACAAAAAATGATTCGATCTGAGAAAGGGTGAGACCGCGAATCTCGGTTGAATATTGAGTATTTCAAGCCTTTTCACGACGAAGATGGAGTTCTTTTTGGAGATGGACGTCGCGGCAAAGGACATGGTGTCCGACGTCTGGCGTCTGGTGAAGCCAGGGATCATTTGTCCAGTCAGGTCGGCAGCCTAACCGTCGGTAAGCTTGTGTTTGGATCCCGTTCTGCTCGATGTGGTAGATCACAAACAATTTGATATCGCACAAATTGATCTCAGCATCATGCGTACGGTATTTTATATTCAGAAAATCCCAAAGTGTCTCTGTGTGGCCGTCCTATGCCACGAGAAACTCCAATCAGGCTCCTATGTCCTCTGCCTTCATGATTGAATGTCCACTTCGTTTGAACAACGAACACAACAATCGAGGACGGCTTTGCAATGAAAAATACAGCTATACTGGAGCTGAAAAAAAGAAGAAGAAAAACGTGCTCAGGATGAGACTCGAGAAGCTACGCCTACAAAGTCGCTGCTAACTTGCTGAAAACTCTGAAGTGCTTGAGAAAAACCCTTGCCTTTGCTTGTCGCATGATTTGGAAATGATGGCTTGAAACACCATCAGGAGTGTATTTTGTTCCTGCAATACTCTGTTTCTTCCCTACCTTGTTATTCAGAAGAAACTCCCGCTTTCATTTTTTCGAAATAAAACTACCAACATCATAAAATCACTATGAGCTAGCTCGTAGCTAGTACCCAAAGAGATTATGAAACCAGGAAAGTGGACATATTTTACCGTAGTAAAGTGCTCTTCGCACTACGGTGTGAGATGCACTTTTGTACAGTAGGGGTAGCAGTGCATGGGGTCAGCGCGTACAGGCCAGCAGGTCTTGCAAAAATGGGGTGGGCATTTGCAACGGACTTTATGGCATTACCTGTTACGGTGTTTCCGTAAAGTCCGCTGCAAATGCCCACTTCACAGAAAATGCCCACGCCAGCGCGTCCACACTATTTTCGTCTTTTTCAGGTCAACATAGTTGTAGAAAACTGGAATGAAAGTCGAATGCGTACGAAAACGGCTGTAACGCCCACAAACTGCCTACGTCTTACCAGAAGTCGTCTTTGCGGTAGTTCGCTCTCCATGTGGTAATGCAATGGAGTTCATCTGGTTTTCATGAAATTTCTGTAATGCCACGATGTGGCACTTTCAGAACGGAACAGTGATTGTGTTAGCTGCTCCCGGCTAATAATGCCCCATCACACCGAAACACAGGGGTTTTATATGATTGGATAATTTATAGAAGTATTCGACAAGAATGTAGACAGAAGGAGAACAGAACAACGACCACTTAAGACTAGACTAAAACAGAACGGAACAGAACCGGAGCATGCGCTCTTCTATGTGAGTGGCTCATTGCCAAGGGGAACGAGCGGGAAATACGAATAGTGAGTATTCAAGTCGTAGCATACATACACCTATTACACTGTGCCCCCTTAGCTAAAATTCACGTCCACGGGAATGAACGGAACACCTAGGAAACAAACAAAAGAAAACAAACCAAATAATAAACTCAGTCCAGGACATAGTCAGCTAGTCGAGCAGGTGCAGTGCGAACACGGCCAGAACGACGAGAAACAGGAGAAGAAGCACGGACCGGATCAGACGACGGCGGCTGTAGCAGCGGAACGCAGCGCGGCAACTCATCATCAGGCAGCGGCAAAGTAACAGGACCGGACACAGTTACAGCTTTCTTGAGGCGATTGAAGTGGACGGTACGCTCACACCCAGGCATAGACAAGGTATACAACGTAGGACCATTCACACGAACAACACAAAACGGACCGGACCAATAACGGTGGAACTTGGCAGACTCGCCGGCGTGAATTACCTTATCATGCAGCCAGACTAAATCTCCAATGACAAACGAAGGACCACTGCAGTGTGCATCATACACTGACTTCTGGTGACGATGGACAGCAGCTAATTGAACACGAGCAAGAGAATGAGCCTGAGCTAAACGGTCACGTACGAGCTGAACATAGGCAAATGGGGAGAGCTCGGGAGGATCAGGAGGAGGAAAGATCAGATCAACAGGCAGGCGAAGCTCAGCACCATACAACAAACGGGAAGGTGTAAAACCAGTACTGCTTTGTACAGCAGCACGGTAGGCGAGAAGAACAAGCGGAAGGTGAATATCCCAATGGACATCTGTTGGGCCAACAAAAGCCTTCAGATGATGGATTAACGTACGATTGAGGCGTTCAACAAGTCCATTGCCCTCGGGGTGGTAACTGGTTGTGCAGGATTTCCGGATGCCAAGGATAGTGCACAACGACTGGAACAACCGAGCTTCGAACTGAGAGCCTTGGTCAGAGTGGAGGCGACGTGGCGCACCAAAGCGAGACACCCAACCATGAACAAATGCCAGAGCGACAGCCTCAGCAGTAATGGCAGACAAAGGAACGGCTTCAGCCCAGCGAGTGAAGTAGTCGACGAGGACAAGGACATACCTGTTACCGGTTGGAGTCACAGGAAGTGGACCAACGATATCCAATGCGACAAACTCAAACGGAAAACCAGCAGCCATGGACTGCAATGGGGCACGGTGGACTGGATTCTTAGAAGCCAACTGAGCACAAGTCGGACAACTCTGTACATAAATCTGGACATCGGATGCCATACCCTGCCAAAAGAAACGTTAACGGGCCAGATGTAACGTTTTCTCAATGCCAAAGTGACCAGCACCGGGCAGAGAATGAACAGACGCGAGCGCAGCAGACTGCAAAACGACAGGGACAATCAAAACAGGATGTTCGACATCAACATCATGAGCGAACGGGGGATCAAGATACAACACCTAATCGATAAGACGGAACTGAGAAACAGAAGACCAAAGGAATTTCTGAAGACGGCTGAAGGGACGGATATCCTCTTCAGGTGGACGGACAAATTTCCCACTAGCAGCATCGTACCAAGACAAAACCGCAGCGAGATCAGGATCAGCAGACTGGGCACTCAGAATATCCTGCGGCCGAAAACAATCAGGCGGCGGATCAGGAGAACTGACGAAAGTGGCTCCAGCAACTGGCACTTCAGCAGCAGCTGACAGCGGAACATCACGGGCGATAGGCGGCGGACTCGGCACAGGAGACGGCACATCGGTCACCACGCGGGACATAGCATCGGCATTCCTGTGTCGAGATCCAGGGCGGTGCACAACAGTAAACTCGAATTCGAACAAAGCCTCTATCCATCTAGCTTTCCTACCACGGGGCTCCTTGGTTGCCCGCAACGCAGTTAACGCGGTATTGTCTGTCCTTGCAGTGAATTCGCGACCAAGCAGATAATGCCGGAAGTGGTTGGCGAAAAAGACAAGGGCCAGGGCTTCGCGATCACTGGCGTCATAGTTTCGCTCAGCTTTCGTCATTATGCGCCCACCAAACGCAATGGGGCGTTCCACCTGGTCCTGTACCTGGCTCAGGACACCACCAATGGGCACTTTCGAGGCATCTGTGTCCAGAAGGAAGGGACCGGCATCTGGTCCGAAGTCCGGGAATGCCATAACCGGAGCACTCAACAGCGCAGACTTCAGCGCTCGGAATGAAGCGTCGCAAGCTTTTGTCCAGATAAACTGCGCATTCTTGCCAGTGAGAGCCGTCAGTGGGGCTGACCACTGCGCAAATCCACGGATGTATCGGCGGTAATATCCCGCTAAACCAAGGAATGACCTGACTGCAGTGACAGACTTTGGCGTCTTCCACGCAAGTATCGCGGAAACCTTGTCCGGATCGGGGGCAATTCTGTCTGCCGACACGCGGTGCCCGAGGAACGCGACGTCCGACCGGAAAAAGGAACACTTCGCCAAGTTAAAACGCAGGCCTGCTGAACGCACACGCTCAAACACTCACGACAAAATCAATACCTGACCAGACAATGTTTCACTCGCATTTAAGACATCGTCACAGAAAACACGGCAAAATGGCTCAGCAGCAGCATTACACAGCCCACGAAGAACAGCTTCCATAACTCTCTGGAAGGTGGCAGGACCATTCCTGCACCCCATCGGCAGCATTGTAAACTCATACAGGCCCAATGGTGTTGTAAATGCGGTCTTCGCTCGGTCGTCAGGATCCATCGCAATCTGCCAATACCCAGACGCGAGATCAAGCGACGCAAACCACTTACAGCCAGACAGTGAATCGAGCATGTCAGCCACCCGTGGAATCGGATAGGCGTCCGGCTTTGTGACACCGTTTACCTTACGATAGTCAACGCAAAGTCGTAAGGAACCGTTCTTCTCAGGAACCAACACGATCGGAGACGCCCACGGACTGATAGACTCTTGGATGATACCCTTCTCTAGTAACGCATCCAATAACGCCTGCAGAGCAACGCGACGGTGATA